GCGATAAGTATCGCTGACGGCAACATCGCTGACGGGGATCCCCGTCAGCGATAGAGAAACATCGCTGACGGGATTCCCGTCAGCGATATTGATAAGTATCGCTGACGGGGAACTCGTCAGCTATGTTATGTACATCGCTGACGGGCTTCCCGTCAGCGATACCTATCGCTGACGGGAAGCCCGTCAGCGATAAGTATCTGCAGCTAAAAAAATCTTGTGATATATACTCAGTTCCCTGTACATATATATATTCCCTGTACATACAAATCTCCAAACGACATTTCACACGCATTCCAAAACATCTCGCAATGAATACAATCCAAAATTTCCCAATTAAACCTCTCATCCAATCAATTTTCACAAACAATCGAAATATATACATTCACTTTTCACGATTATGATACAAACACGAGTATCATAATCTCAACTATAAAGATGTCCACAATATAAAGATGTCCACACTATAAACACGAGATTATGATACAAACACGAGTATCATAATCTCAACTATAAAGATGTCCACAATATTCAAACACGAGTTTAGGATATAACTCACTAAGATAGGTCATCCGCCCTATCCATGTCATCGTCCGTGTTGCCACTGGCGGATCCATCCCTACGAATCGTGCTCCCAATAGTATCATCTCCAATCTAACAACAAAATAATTTAAATTTAGAATCACATAATATTGTGTGTAATCATGTTTTACATATATAATAAGTATACCTGTCTGCTACTCTCTCCACTACCAGTAAATGCCTTTTGAGTGGCCAAGAAGTTCATAATCTGGCTTTGCACCCGAGTAGGAACCCGCCTTCTACAAGATTTTATTATTTGCCTAGAAACCATCGCAAAAGTAGCAGTAGGCTGGATCACTCGCATAAGCTCCTCTTGAATATCCTCCCACATCTCCTCGGGAATCTGACCATCTAACATACTCATCACAGAGGAAACAAGCTGCATATCCCTCCTAATGTGAAGCAAGATAGGCCTACCTACTAAATATCAAACGAACAAATGGAAAATCTACCAGAAACATGAATATTATACTTACCCACAATAAAAACAACCCAATATAATCATCATATTTAAAAGATAAAATAAAATCAAAGTGCATGAAGAAGCTTGCATTACCATAGATGTATGCATGCATCTTCCTTAACACATTCACACATATAATTCATGTATGATAATTAAGATGACCAAAAGAAGAGTGCAAACAATAAATTCCCAACATGATAACAGGCTAATAAGAGCTAAGATAATTAGTTAACCTGCATTTTCTTGGCCAATTCTAGCTTTTGTTTCTTAGTCTCATCGTCATCGTACCCCTTCTTAAATTGAACCATCGTTCTCCTGTGCAGTTCTGGTAGTGGGATAAAGGGAGCGTTCTGAGATTTAAAAATATATTTATTAGTTTTATTTATCAAATATTCTAGGAAGCGGAGAGAATATATATAGAAGATTAAAAGACTTTATACCGTTGTCCTACAAAATTGATCCTCAATCTGGGCAAATGAAGTAGTCCCCGTATGATGATCATAATCTTTTTTCCATCGATTAAGTTTATTTCTCCTACATTTTTCCTTCAACATGAACAAAGAGAATTTTAGTGCATGGTATAATATACAATGGAATATATCACTAGTTTCAGATAAATAACTTGATGATAATTAACTACTATACATATTTACCTGGTGCTCCTCTTGGCCCCACAATATTATAAGTGCAGCTAAGTGCTCAGGCTCAACCCTCTTATCTCGCTTGTATATCCTCTCCCAGTTGTGAGTGAAACAATCAAAGCATTTCTTCTTTATCTCATGTCTCCACTCCCGAAGAGAATGCTTGAACTTTCCTTGGTATCCAAATAAAAATTCCCACCCTACGGGATTGTCTTCGATGTTGAAATATCTCTAAAAAATAAAATATAGTTAAGCATTGACAATTGACAGAATTGAAAAATAATTGTGCTAAATATAAAAATTTACCCAAATATCTCGATATATACTCTCCAGGACATGAAATGGCTGCTCCCAAGCCTCGTAATAGGGATTCACATTATCACTCCTCCGTATCAAACATCCAAGGTATGAGCTGAAGTTATTAGCTCATTGTCCGGTTGGAATCCCATTATGTCCCCATCTCACAATTGCTCGAAAACCATCCGGTGGTAACTTTTTTTAAAGTCACTTCCTTGGCGTCCTTTCTTCTGGTAAAGTTTTTCTCCTACAAAAAAGAAATAATAGATATATCAACACTTTTATTTAATCAATCTTAAGCTCTTAAAATTGATTATGTTTTTTTATTAATAGACTCGGAATTGATTAAGTTTTTGATCAAACTCACCAAATCTTTGTCTGATTTCATGTTTTGCATCAGACAAAATCTCCTCAATCTGTGGGGCCCATTCATCCAATCTTTTTTTCGCAAGCATGTATTTTTCAGTCTGCTTGAGTCTGTACCCCTCTGTACATGCTGGTAAGGGCCCGCGCTCAATCCCAGGAATGTATGCTCGAAGTATAACTGGAGGATCTGCATGTAATGGTATGTGAGTCGGCTCTTCCTCACCCTCACCTATAAAAATAAAAGAAATAATTATCATTGTGCATATATCATGAATAAAAATACTTAAGTTAAACTAAGATATACCTGACATCTCTCCTGAACTCGGTGGCTCTTCCTCAGTGGATTGGTCTTGACTGGGGTTAGCTTCGAATAACCTCCTGTTAATATTTTTAGACATCTGCAAGTTGAATAAACATACAAATTAATATATTATAGATGCAATTTGGCTTGGCATAAATAAAAACAATATGTATTGTTGCGTTACTAAATTTTTCATTTCACATCAAGTTTGTAGGCATTTGCAAGCTGAATATACAAAATAAGATATTACATATTTATATACAATTTATATTGTCCAAAAGCTGAATATACAATTTGCAAACTAAAAAAAGTTACATGAAGACCCGATTACAAATAATTGCTGTTTAGCTCCTATTAATGTCTGTGATAATATTTGGAATGTCTGTCCGAGTTGTTGGAGCATCCGTTTCAAACACTACGTTTTGAGGGTACGAGAATTCATCGATCGCTGTATTTGGCTCATTGAAGTTGTTTATATAGCTCTCATCATCATCTTCATTAGTGGAAGGTTGAATATAAGCCCTAGAATCCTTGTACAAGACAACCCACTCGTCTTTAACTGTAGGATCTTTCACATAGAAACATTGTCCCACCTGAGATGCAAACATGAATTTTTCATCACTATCAATTTCTTTATCGAGATTGACAATTGTAAATCCAAAGGGATCCTTTTGAGTCTTTGTAAAACACCAACGAATCATGAACATAATGTATTTATGTTCATTTGGACCACCATAGCCGTAGAATATCTCCACCACATCTTCCAACCTTCCATAATATGTCATATTATTTTCAACTGGATTCTGATATCTTCTGTTTGAGAAACATTCCCGTGAGAAGGTAGCCATGACACCACTATTCTGGGTGACCTTCGTATCATCAACCTCCATTGTGTGAAATTTATAACCGTTAACACGATACCCACCATATTGAATTACAGCATAGTAAGGCCGCTTTGCGTGAACCTTCACTTCTTCTGATATTTGATTATTAAGGACAAGTTGTTCCTGGATCTAAATATATACAAAAATAAGCAAACTATTAAATCAATAATTTCTACGTTTTTTATCAATGAAATACAAATATCGCTAAATTTAACAATACTTACTTCACTATTCAACCAAGCAGGGAATTCCTTCATATGCCTTTCTTTAATGTCATGTACAGTTGTACTACCGGTAACTTCATTCTTAAGTTAGCCTTGGTATTAAGGGAAAATGACGCAGGACCTTTGCTGGAATCTTCTTTTGCTTAAGCATAGACCTTGTTGTCCCATGTGTTGAATAATTTTTGTGTTGTACCCACCGTGATACTCCACAAGTTGGACACTCCTGAAGATCTTTGTTATCTTTATAGTAGAGGATACAATCATTAGGGCATGCGTCGATTTTATTGTAATCAAGTCCTATAACGGAAACAATCTTCTTTGCGTTATCATAATTTTTTGGTATGCTATCTTTTCCATTTGGAATGACTTTTCTCAGCAACACAAGCAACATATTAAAATATTTATCTGCCATTCCTCTAAGAGACTTTATACGCAAAAGACGCAGCATAAATGATAACCTGGTGAACTCGGTGCAACCCTCGTACAGATCGTTTTCATTATCGTCTATTAATTTCATTATCTGCGCCAGCTCCTCATGATCGGTCACGCCTCCAGCATTTCCTAACTCGTCAGCATCCTCGGCATAATCAGATTGATCTATATTAGGAACTGTTAACATATCCGCGAGCATCGTATGTGTATCATCTATTCTCGTATCATCTATTCTCACACAGGAAGTACCGGTATCCGCTATCAGTTCCATTTCTTTAAGACATCCTTCCCCATGAAATGTCCAATATTTGTACTCCTCATGGAATCCTGATATTAAGTGTTTCTGTAAATCACTTTTATCCACCAACGCCCTATTTTTACACCAACAGCAGGGACAATACACGACATCACTATTTAACTTTCGTGGGTCTGCCAAGGCATACTGTATGAATTGATTTATTCCATCTTTATATCGACTATCCCTCCATCTATCAATACGAGGAATATCGATCCATGATTTGTCCGGAACTATCCTCATAGATCTGTATGATATTAAGCATAATTAGGTAATGTGAACTTTTATTAGTAACACATCAAATTAAAGGTTGCGTGATATTAACTTTCTTCACGACATAAAGGAAATTTTAATTTTAATAATCTCGGAGGGAAAATTACCAGAGCATAAATTATGTGGGAGTAAAATCTAACGCTCATATTTGAAATAAGACAATTTAACGGCTGTCATAGGAAATGGACCTATCCCATTAGGAATATAGTAGTGTTTACAACTACCTTTATATACTTTACGCGTTTTTATTTCTTAAAAATTTCGGCAGCACCTACCCGCGGTTCTCCGAGTACACTGTGCGGATGTTATAATGCGTATCAATCATCGATAATAGATCGATTATAGATTGATACGCAAAACAACATACGCTTATTGTACACGGAGAACAATGCGGTACGTGTTATCGAAATTTATAGGGAATAAAAATGCATAAAGTACACAAAGATAGATGATACACTACTGTATTCCTAACCTGTACGAGAAGGGGACTCCTCCCCGGACAGATCTAATAATTATTGCATGTATATCATGCTCCTAACATAAATCACGTTATTCTCTTTAGATGTAAAAAGTATTTTCACATCCAACTAGAATTGCGTGAGTTTATATAAGAAGAGATTCACATCCAACATTATTAGACGGGAAACAAGGGGTAACGACTTTCGATTCATAAATTATGATATATAACACAATAAAACTTGTAATTACCACAAGAGAATAAATTAACCAAAAGAGAATAAAGACCCAGAGAGTAAATTAGCACTTAACATTTTTATAATTGTATTGTTCTAGTTTATTGTCATATTCATCACTATACATATCCTCTCTTTTTTATTTATTTACCATATGAAGACGTATTTTTGTCATAATAGTTTTTTTTAATATTTACAATATTCTAATGATGGATAATTTAGGATAGTTAAGCATAATTATGATAAAAATAATTGGATGTTTAAGTACCATTTAGTCAGCCAACTTATCATACTTGTATTGTAAAAGGACCATGTTTCTAGTATGAAGCTTTTCCTTTTACTTGTGAAATTATGATACTACCAACGACATTTAACTTTAATTTGGTATTATTGAAATATAAAACATAACCAAATTAGCTAAAAAATGACCAAAAATTACCGCTTGGATCTCCTGCAATGCAATCCAACAAAACGTAACACTCACTTGGACCTCCTTCACCGCAATCAAAGAAATCAACTCTCAAATTAGAAAAAACAGTAAAACCTAAAATCAGTAAAAAAATTAAAAAAAATTTGAAAACAAAATCAAAGGAAACATACGCTGACGGGTGAGGAGATGAGAGAGCCCAAGTTGATACTGTTCGAGTCGGCGGCGCGGGGGCGATGCGACGGCGAGGTCGATCGGGGCAGTGAGCGGTGGAGTCGAAGAGCAGGAGGGGAAGGTGATGGCGCGGGCGGCGAGGGCCGTTTCAGCCGAAAAAATCTCATCAGCGAATATATAGCTAACATCGCTGACGGGTTTCCCATCAGCGATGTTTGCAGCCCGTCAGCGATATTTTCATCGCTGACGGGAAGGAATAATCCCCGACGAGAACATCGCCGATGGGAATTCCCGTCAGCGATATAAACAATGCTGACGGGAATTTCCCGTCAGCGATGTTCCCGTCAGGGAAACTCCGATTTCCACTAGTGATAGCTGTAGGCTGTCTAAAAATCACAATAGATAGCTGATCCCCATCAAAACACCGATGATGGAAGTTATAATCTGACGACTTCCAGATGGCTATAATTTGAAGACTTTCACGTAGATCGCTAAAGGTTACAATCTGACGACCTTCACGACAACTGATGGAAGCTCTAATCAAACAGCCTTCATAATCAACATCGGGAGTTACAATCTGACGACTCTCACATATCAGAGAGCTAAAGCAAAGATTACAAAATGACGATCTTTGCAACGCTTCAACAGAAAGAGACTACAAATCGACGGTCTCTTCAAATCAAACTGCGGAAGTCCTCCCCGCACACCAGCATCAAGACGCACCGTGTTCATAGCCACGAACGCAGCGCAAACATAGCTCCAAAAGCTGCAAACGCAGCTCAAACGCAGCTGCCATCTGCTGCCAAACGCAGCTTCCAAGCTACCAAACGCAGCTCAACGCAGCTCCAAGCGCTGCCAAACGCAGCTGCCATCTGCTGCTCAACGCAGCTGCCATCTGCTGCTCAACACAGCTCCAAGCGCTGCCAAACGCAGCTGCCATCTGCTGCCAAACGCAGCTTTCAAGCCGCCAAACGCAGCTTCCAATAAGACGCTGCGTCCGAGCTTCCAATCGCTGCGTCCGAGCTTCCAATCGCTGCGTCCGAGCTTCCAGACACTGCGTTTGAATGCAGAATTCACGCCAGAACGCGGATTTTGCGTTTGACTCGTTCAAACACGAGCTGAACAGTTTCAAAACCGTTTCCCACGATCTGAGGGGATCACAACTCCACTCAGGAGTGATTTAAGGGGTGGTTACATCCCATTAGCCCCACTTAGGAGCGAATTAAGGGGGCGGTTACACCCCTTAATCCCCTATAAATAACTAAGAAATCAACTTAGTTTAGATCCTTCTTTTTGGGCAGCAAAGAAGAGATCTCGGGCTGGCTTTTGGATCCTTCTCCTTAACAGAAGAGAAGAGATCTTTGGCTTGTCTAACCAATTACGGTTA